CCCCTCTCTGACCCAAGATCTTATCAAGCTACCAAACAAGTCTTCGCTATTGACCTGGTGCCTTAAACAACAAGAAACAAACAAACAAACAAACAAACAAAAAACTCTTTTCTTTTTCAGTCTCATCTGGAACTCTTTAAACATTCTGATATCCCAGGGTGAGTGGGATATCAGAATTCACAATCCTCCTGCCTCAGCCTCCTGGGTTGCTGTCATAACAAGTGTGTGACGCCATGCCCTTAAACAAAAATCAAAAAACTTTGAAATATAATACACAGTGTCCATCCCAGTTAGTTTTTATAGTGGAATGCCTTTGTATCATCATGTATGGGAGCAAACAGAAGCTCTCTGCACCCAGAACCTTCTCACCCGGGCAGTGAGCAGAAGCCTGTCTGCTCCCTGCCCTGCAGTGATCTAATCATGACTTCTCCCCAATGTGGTAACTGTTCTGCCTATATTTTTTGTGTATGTGAAGCTCAATTTGGGTAGGTTGGTTTTGTTTTGTTTTGGTGTTTGGTTTTTTGTTTTGTTTTGTTTTTGGCTTGGACAATTATTTCTTCTTTGCTTCTAAAATGTATCTGTATTGAATTATGCAAATTAGCCCCTGAGGGCTGAAAAGCTGTGGCCTTTGCTCTCACGGGCCGGCACCAGACTTTCCATCAAGGTGCGTGTCCCACACAGTTGTGGTATCCAGCTAGCTGAGGAGTATGCACTGCATTCACTAGTAATTAATAATAACAAAACTATTCATGAGGAGCCAGTACCAGAGGTGGGGTGACCAGCCCTTGTCCTTCACATTCCCATTTTTTAAAAACCTCGCCTGTGGGCCAGCAAGCTACTCAGAGGCTTAAGACCCTGGCTGCCCTTGCAGAGGACCCAGGTTCAGTTCCCAGCATCCACATGGTTGGTCACAACCATTTATAATTCTAGTGCTGAAGGATCCAGGAACATACATACATGCAGGCAAACACTCCTACACATTAATAAAATAAAACAGATATTTTCAAAAAATTGGCCTCTTCATAGGCCTTCCTCCAGTCTTCCATGTAACCAAGATAATTCCCTAGTTTCTTATTTTCCATCATCCCTGTTGCTTACCACCTCCAAAACTTCGTCTAAAGCTGTAAATGTTTTGATTGCCTTTTTGGTAAATAGGAGCTGCCCTCTCTCCCCTGCTAGAGCAGAAACCCCAAGCACACTTGCTTGCCGGCACAGGAGTGCCATTACTTTGCATAAACAGTATGAAAAATGGCCAAAGCCATCCCAACGACCTTCTGAGAGAGCTTGATGCTAGAAGGGCTCTGTGGGTGAGAACCTTTCTTTGTGGATAACTGTGACCAAACTTAGAAGTGGAGCAGAAGAGCTTGCTGAGTTCTAGGTCCTCCTCCACACTGAGGGGCCTCTTCATCTGCTTTTACATGTTCATCTCCAAAAGGTCACTGAAAGATCATGTGGAATTCATGGCCTAGATGCCTGAATGGAGTGTGGCACAAATTGTCACCTTCAGAAAATATGTTGCTTTACATTCAAATAAAGACTAAAAATTGATCCTCAACACTTGAAAAACAAAACAAAACAAAACAATGCCATCTTAATGAACCCCTGAATCCTCTTTGAATTTTTTTTCTTTTCTTTTCTTTTTTTTTTTTTTTCTTTCTTTCTTTTTTTTAGACAGGTTTCTCTGTGTACCTTGGACTCTATTTGTAGACCAGGCTAGCCTTGAATTAGCAGATATCTGCCTGCCTTATCCTCTCTGAGTCCTTTTTGAATTCTTAAAAGTCTAGAATTTCAAATGCCCTATCCAAATTATGTCTAGGTATATGACACATATATAAAAATGTATAAAAATACATGTATGATGCAGTGATTATACATTAGGAAAATGACCATTAGTTTTTATTAGACTGTTAAAACGCAAATTAGTAAATCTAGTACCAGAACCAAAGAGGAATTTAAAATGTTTTAAGTGGATCCCTAAGGTGGGGGAAATAAGGCTTGAACACAACTGAGGGGGCAGTGGGGTCCCTAAGAGCCTATAGGGAGGAAGGAGCATTCCCAGGGCCAGTCTCTGAGGGAAGAGGACCCCCCCCCCCCGACATCATGGAATCCCATGGCACTCTACAGGATTTCCTCTTGGAGTCACATGTTCTGGACCCCTGACAACTGGCATTGTGGCCGAACACTAGGAGACCTTTTCCTGTCTTCCTGCATTTTCTAAAGCAACAGTGGAGAGCTGTGGTGGTAAAGCAGCAGAATTTTATTTTATTTAAAATATTTAAATATTTTTATTAAAACAGTTAAAATAAAATAAAGACAGAGTTTTTCCATGTAACAGCCCTAACTGTCCTGGACTGTCTTTGAAGGCCAGGCTGGCCTTGAACTCATGAACTCACAGAGATTCATTTGCCCCTGACTCCCGAGTGCTGAGATTGAAGGCATGCACCACCACAGCCCAGCTGCAGCAGGATTTTAATCCATCAGCAGAAACCCATCTTTACCAAGGCCTCTCTAAGCCTCCATTACTCTTGGATAAAGTGGCAGCCATAGCCAAAAGGTCACTCACTGAACAGTGCTGACACATAGGAGGTGTCACTGCATTGCTCTCCTTCTAGAACAGCCCAGGATGTCTCTGCCAGCAAGATGAGATTCTAAGGAATCATTTCACATAACTGCCCTATGGCCTAGGAGTACGTGTTTCCATTCTGAAGCATATTTGGTTCATGCTACGCCATCTTTATGTGTATTATCCAGGGAAGGCTCTAGAATTTCTATGAAGGAGGGGTCTACAGGCAACGGTCGGAGGGGTCTGAGGGTCTTATATTTTCAAGGGAATGAGTTTTGTTTCTGAATTTATTGGGGGGGGCTGAGAGGGACTGTGGGAAGCTGTAGGCCTATCATCTAGTTATTTGCAAAGCAGGTCACTGTATTGCTTATTTATTATGTTAATGGAAGGTGTCAATGGAAGACCTTGGGTATTCGTTGGGGTGTCTTCTGGCTATTATTTGCATAGCAAGCCACCATCTTGCTTTGTATGCTTGCTGGGTAGTTTTGAAGGATTGTAGAAATCTGTGGGTGTGTCTTCAGCTGTTTGCAAATCAAACCTCCATCTTAAATTGTGCATTTATTGAATAGTTTTAAGGGATTGCAGACATTTGGGTGGGCTGTCTTCTGGCTGTCTGCATAGCAAGCCACCCTCTTGGATTATGCATTCATTGGACAGTCTAGAGGGATGATGGGAAACTGTAGGTGTGTCTTCTATCTATTTGCATAGCAACCCCCCATCTTGGATTACGTGTTTATTAGAAAGCTTTGAGGGATTGTGGTAATTTGTGGGTGTGTCTTCTTGCTACTTGCATATTAAGTCTCCACTTTAGATTGTGCATTTATTTGGTAGTTTTGAGGAATCATGGGAATTTTGGGGCCTGTCTTTTGGCTATTTGCATATCAAATCTCTGTCTTGGATTATATGTTTATATATCCATAAACACTGAGGGATTGTGGGAATTTGTGGGCCTGTCTTTTTGACCATTTGGATAGCAAGTCACTGGACTCATATGTTTACTGGGGGTCTTTGGAGGACTATGGGAATTTGAAGAGGTCTTGCTATTTGCATATTGAGCCTCCATCTTAGATTGTATGTTTATTGGATAGTTGGGAGGCACTGTGGGAGTTTATGGGCTGCTCTGGCTATGTGCATAGAAGGCCCTTGGATTGGACGTTATTTTGGTTATTGGAGGGGTTGGAGGTCATAGGAATTCTAGAGAGTCTTCTGACTATATGCCCAGCAAGCCTCCATCTTGGATTATACACTTACTGGATAGTTTTGAGGGATATGAGAATTTGTGGGCTTGCCTGGATATTTGCATAGCAAGCCTCCATCTTTACTTGGATTATGTGGATATTTGGGAAAAGAGTTCAGGGTTTATTTTTGTGCCTAAATCTGCATATTCTAATTGCCAAGTTGAGGCAATGCAATCTAGCTTTGGAAAGATCTACAAGTTAGGAGTGACAAGAGCTGCTTTTGTGGCTCTCCTTGGCAATCAGACTTGAGATAAACTACATTAAAATTTAATCTGGTTTGACTTAATATGGATAATAGAACAGTTAGTGTGTCTGGTGGCCTTGGTTACAGAGTTAACTTGACTCACATCTCATTTAGTTTATTTCAGAGACATGGTGTGTTAATACTACGGTCAACACTTGTTTCTTCCCTGTGTGGTAAGCACACTTAGGGGATGAGACTGAAGGGCAAAGATGAGGCAGGACCAATGGACCACAGTCCCTCCCCCAAGCCATAAGCCACGTAGGCTTCTTATTGGGCCCCCCCCATGTGTCCTCCATCTTATGCCCAATCATAATGAAAGCTTGTTTTATTGAGTGATGACATCTTATTTATATTGTAGTAGTCACTTTTATATTTTTTAGCAAGTGAAGATTCATGTACTTTCCCCATGATTTTGCTTATTGATTCTTCAGAACTCTTTACTTATTAGTCAACCTTGTTTATTTTCCCCAGTCCCACACCCAGGATATTCTTATGTGATTTTTCATTTTCTTATACAGCCATTCTTTCCAACACCTTTTATGGGAAGAACTAAACCTTTAATTTAGATGTAATTAATCTGCATGCACTTCATCTTCGTGTAGAATGAAGTAGGAATGATTTCCAACTCCCATCTCCCCCACTTATTGAAAACCCTGCCAGTGGGCGTCCACCCCACCCCACACCCAAAAGGGTAGGCTGCTAGTTTCCGGTAGGGAAGCAGTTGGTCAAAGGGTAGCTAGCATCCTAGCTAGCAATGTCTGCCTGGGGTAAGAGGTAAGGGGTCGAGCTCTGGTGAGCCAAAGATTAGGTTCCACCAAGTACACGGTGGCCACTCCCACTCATAGCCCCGGGACCCGCCCTTCATCTTGGAGGCCCCGCCCAATTGGTGCATAGACCAAGCCCCACCCGGGGACGCTGGGGCCCGCTCGCCGCAAATCAAAGAGTGACACCGTGCTTTGCTCACATTTAATTTTTATTTTGATTTTTTAATGCTGCACAACACAATATTCATTTCATTTTGTTTTTCATTTATTTCATTTATTTCATTTATTTCTGTTTGTTGCTGCTTTTATTTTACTTACTGAAAGAGAGAGGGAACTTTTGTGGCCTATTTTCTTTTTCTTTTTCGTCTGTAGGCCGCCTTAAGCTTTACTAAATTTGGAACATCTAAGCAAGCTGAAGGGAAGAAGGGTTTTTTTTCAGAATCACTCGGGGAAGAGGAAAGGTTGCGTTGTTAATCATGCCCTATGGTGGGTGATCAACTGCTTGTACAATTACGTTTCACTCTTAGTTAATTGTGCTTAAGGCTGAATTAAATTTGGGTGTTCCCTTCTTAGAGCAGCTCGTATTGGCGGAGGTGCATGCGCTGGATGATGTCGCGGCAGTCGTTGAAGACACGGCGGATGTTCTCAGTGTCCACGGCGCAGGTGAAGTGAGGGTAACAGTAGTGGCGCCCATCTCCACTAGCGGTGCTGATTCTCTGTGGGCGGAAGAAAGACTCGGTCAGCAGCCCGCTCCAGAACCCCCCCCCCCCCACTCCCGAGGCCCGGTCGCCGATGGTAAAGAGAGCATGGAAGGCCTGGATGGTTCAATCTCCAGAACCAGCACTAACTTGGAGGAAACCCATGAAGTAAAAAGTAAGGGACTACAGACAAGCTCTACTCACCAGAAACTCATCCCGGATGAAGTACTTGGCCCGGGTCACGCGTGGGTCCTCTCCGGGCTCGGGAGTCGCTGCAAACAAAAACACAAACAAATAGTATTAATTATGCTAATTAGAACTAACCTATTAATTTTGTCTGCCCTTCCCCAAACTCCTGATCTCCGCATATGAACACCGGGGAAAGAAGTGTTTCTGGCTTCCCTCGTAGCGGGAGGGGGTAAGAACTCTTTTTGGCCACACCTTTTGCCCGAGAGCCACCCGACCAAACCAGGGCAGAGAGAAGGATGACGTACCATCCTCAGGAGTAGTGTAGCGAGCGAACTCTGGAAAGTAGTCCTCAATCTTCGATTTCCCAGCGAGGACCTTCTCAGCAAGCAGGTCTTGCTTGTTGAGGAAGAGGATCACAGAGATGGTGCGCAGCCATCTAAGGAGAGAGGGGCGGGGTGAGTGTGGGCAGGGGCCAGCGTCAGTGGTGCAGGGGGAGGCCGGGCAGGGCGATGCCACACACCTGTTGTTCCAGATGCTCTTGAAGAGGTTCAGAGCCTCCTGCAGGCGGTTGGTCTGGTTGTCCTCCCGAATGACCATGTTGTAGCTGCTGCTGGCCACCACGAAGATGATGGCAGTCACGTCATTGAAGCACTGGATCCACTTGCGGCGCTCGTCGCGCTGGCCGCCCACATCGAACATGCTGGAAGGGGAGAAACGTCGCGGTCACCCTGGGCCCACCGCGACACAGGCCCGAGAGGCGGGACTCGACCGCCGTTCACTTACTGGAAGTTGACTTTGTCCACCTGGAACTTGGTCTCAAAGATTCCAGAGGTCAGGACGCGGCAGCGGAGCAGGTCCTAGAACAAAGGGGGGGGGGTCAGTGGTTCTCGCCCCTAACTGCCCCAAGAACCAGCAACACTGGAGCCACAGCCTCGAGGCCAGGGGCACATGCATACCTGGTCGCTTGGCACATAGTCGGCCTGCTTGATCACATCAATCTTGTCCAGGAAGCTTGGAAGGAAAGCAAACATGGTGGTCAGGGTGTGCGCCGAGTGTGCCCCCACAAGGCAAACGGCAGACCCCCAGAAACGAGAGATAGCAGGCGGTGGTTGCCGTAAGGGTGCAGCAAGGCCTGCGTTCCCGGACAAACCAGACCTGGCCCTCCCTATCTACTGTGAAAGAATCTCATTGGCTAAGGAGAACCTAGCCAACAAAAGCTGTGGGCACAAAGGGGCCCTTCTAGCTCTCACCACGCTGAACAGGAAGTGGACACAGAGTTCCCTTCCTATCTACTGGGTCTGTGAAATAGAACATTCCTGATATCAAACTTTTAGGGAAAAAATAAAGAAAGAAAAGAAAAAGAAATGTATTTGTCTGGTGTTGCTTGACCATGGACACAGTATAAAACTTCTGCAAGACTGGGAAAAAGTGAAAAGGTAATATTAATACTAGTTTGGAAGGTTTCTTTGTGTGTGTGTGTGGGGGGGGTGCTACAGGGGACTGACTGGGTTGGGAACTGTTTTAAAGTAATCAGAAGAGAAAAATCACAAAGGAGCAGGGTCTATTTAAAGAAAGGCCCCAAAGTTTTTGGGTTCTTTTTTTTTTTTTTTTTTTCCGCCTTCCCCTTCCTTTTTACCAGTTCCGATAGTCTGGCTTAGAGGACGCACTGACTGGCCCAATCAATCTTACGTTACAGCACAGGCCCAGAAATAGCTCCCCAGCCACCCTGGCCTCCAGCATGTTGCTGTGGCAACAGAACCACAATTCTATAAATAGATCCTTAGCACCAAATCTTGTGAGAAGACATCTGGAGTGGGGCCAGCCAAACTGCAGCTCAACAAACACAAACCTGGCAACTTAAGAAGCCAACTCAGGCCCAGTGCCTGCCCTCGGCCATAAAGGCAGTTAAACATATTGGTGGGGGGTACTGAACACTCGGACTTGAAGTGGGGGCATCTCACACAACTTTAAAGTTGATCTCTTTTCCTTGCAAGTTTCCTTGAAACTTTGCACCGCTGGTGCACGTGGTTCTGTTTTCAGGAGTACAGTGTACCGCTTTCTGCTTTAAAAGCAGCGTGGCCCCAAAGAGGCCGGCTCAATCAGTGTTAAAGAGACTGCCCCCAGCAATTCACCACAGGGCGGCTGAGCCTCCTCAGCTTGCATCTGTACTTAACTCCTGAATTGGATCCAAAATACAAACCACAAACAATTCCAGGATTTCCATTTGTTTTGTGTTTCTATAATTAGTGTTTCCAGCTTTTAGTACAAACTTTTGAGAAAAATCAGGAACTTTGCTGGAGGAGGAGTGGGGGCTGGGGCCCATCGGGGACTTCTATTCAGTTCCTTGAAAGAACACATAACTCTGTATATTAAACCATGACATGACTATATATGTAGCCTGCACTGGCAGTAACCAAAGGGAGTCCCTGTGGGAGATCAGGCCTAGGAAAGGGTGCCCCTCCCCTGTCATGAAGCTGAGGTGCCTTATCAGGCACTGGCCAATAAAAATGTCTCTGTGTGCTTGGTATGAGGGGGCCACTGCGTGCTTGCTACACTGTGTACACCCCAAAATGTTACGGTTACCATTAAGTTCACCGTGCACACACACCGCTTTAATACAAGTACTTATTGCCTTGCTCTAGCAGTTACATTAACTGTTTCTGTGAAACAATCAATGTGCTATCAGTACAATGAAGAGTTTTATAGGACAAACGAATCAGACTAGAACTTTCTGACTGCTGACAGATTTGTAGCTTCCCTGCTTCTATGTGTGTGTGTGTGTGTGTGTGTGTCTAGGGAGGGAGTGAGAGTGACTGACTGACAGACAGACAGACAGAGAGCCCACAGCTACTTACTACTGGGCACAGTCAATCAGCTGGTACTCATTGGAGCGCTCGTAGCAGGCGCGAACCCCCTCATCCTCCCACAGAGCCTTGGCATGCTCATAGAACTCCTGCAAGAGAACCCAGGAAAGGTTGTTGGTTGAGGTACACGCACAAACACCATCAGGGAACCCTGCCCCTGGAACTCTGAGGCCAAAGTTCACTATGTGAGTCCAAGTGTGAGCCCTTTCGTGAATCAATGCTTGGAAAAAGGCCGGAGGTCCTGTTAAATATCCAGAAATCTGTGTAATTAATTGGCATGTTTTCATCTTTGGAGCAATCAGTCTTAGGTGGCTGGCTGCTTCTGTTATTTCTGTGGGGGTGGGGGCAAGTACAAAATGGAGTTAACCTTCTTCCCCAGAATTATGTGTGTAACAGGAATGTGTACTGTCTTGTGTTAGGAACATAGGCCAAGGCTGGCAATATTGTCCAGATACTAGAGTATCACATGTCAGTAGCATCAGATGCATTTTGGGTAGGCTGCCATTTTGTCTTCCATTCGAGACTCACAGTCATAGAGCTATGCTTCCCACTTCATTTTTTTTTTTAAATCAACAGCTACTTTAAAAAAAAATTACCTACCTATACCAATTTCCTTTGTTAAATTAGTAGCCAAAACTCATTTAAGGTACACAAATCCTCACAGAAGCCTAATAAAAAGGCAGCAATAACTTAACTATAGACAAGTCTCTTCTTCTGGCATTAAAATCTTTTTCCCCATGAAGGGTTAAATTGTAAATGCTTGACAGGGGGCAATTCTACCCTCTCTTAAAGTAGCTTTTAGGAAACCAAGAGACCCCTGTCAAGAAGGTCAGGCTCTCAGGCAAAGGGCCGGAGAGGACACTCTTATTTCTGCAATGTTCTATTTTGTAATTTCTGCTCGGATCTCAGAACTGGAAAGGTGCATATCTGCTCTAGGCTGAGTTAACTGGACAGTTAAATGCTGGACAATTAACTGGACATTTACCATGGACAGTTGTGTGTCATGTATGACATGGTTCTGTCTGTCCTCATGTGTATGAGGGAATAAGGACATTTGCCTTAGGTTAGACTTTCCCCATAAACATTCACCATCTGGTAAATTGAGAACGTTATTGCTGAAGTGTGATGTTTCCTTGTGATGCAAATTATGCTGAGAAGTTTGTTCATCTCTTCTGGACAAAGCCCTACCCATGTCTTTATCATCTTTTAGTATTAAGTACATGCTTGGAATCAGTTTGTGTGTTCACATGGCAGGTGTGTGTGTGGTCAAGTCTGGGCCTGGTGAAAGTTGATCCCTCCTGTTCCCACTGGGCCTAGCTACTGCTCAGGTGAGAGGGGTAGGGGAAACCGGGGGCAGGGCGGGGCTTACAGGTGGGAAATCAAAGTTCGGCACGTTCATCACGCTCAGAATGTAGTCCACTCTGAACTGGTTCTCAGGGTTGGCCAGCTCCACAGGGGGCACCAGGTTGCTCATGGCGGCCACGATGGTCTGAAAATGGTTTAGCAAAGCGGTCAGGGGGCGGCGCCATGGGAAGAGGGGGTTGCTAAAAGATAGAGCAAGGAGCTCGGCACATACTTCAATGGCCTCCTTCAGGTTGTTTTTGATGTCCTGCACCTTGGTGGCCTTCTCACTACAGTGGGGTTGAAAAGAAAAAAAAATCATATTGCATCCTGCCCACCAGGGTGTCACCTTCACTGAGACACATCAACTCAAAAGCATAGTATTCTGTTCTCCGAGGAATTACGGGCTCAGATATGTAGAGGCTGGAGGCCCCCAAATCAAACTAAATCCTAATTTCCCAAGCATGTCCTGAGGACAGGCCTGATTAGTGAAGTGGCATCGAGATCTTGATTGACTATACCAGAAACTGCACCTGGTCTACCTGCTATTCCAACCACAGCCACAAGCTTCCTGAGTGGCAGTGGCTCCTACTTGATTAGCATACTGGGGTGGGGGGGGGGGGGGTTAGGGCATGCCAGACTTTGGGGTTCAGTAGGTGGTAAGGGGACCCAGAGGTGACAAGGGTTTATTTCCATTCCTATATATTTATTTGTAGATCTATCATTTATTTAAATGGCTGTACCTGTCCCAGAGAGATGGTGTGTGGGGGTACTTTGGCTTAACTGTGTTAATATATAGTGGCCCCCAGTTGTGAGGAGGAGTCCTGGTCCTCACATTACTGGTGGGCATGAGGTTCATGTCGACTGGGGGGGGAGGAGGTGGCTAGGTGTTCTCTGGCTTATTTTAACCAGCCTACAGAATAACCTTTGTGGTCTTTCTGGGATGATTTGTATGCAGGCAATCACTGATCCCACAGGTAAAGGCCCCCAACAACTTCTTGTTATGGGGGTGGGAGGTATCCCCCAGATGGAACGCTAATTTATGGAGGTTACGGTGATTCAAGACACTGTGTCTTTTAGGAGACAGCCTATATGCCAGGCCCAGCCAGAGGGACTCATGAGCTTGTCTTCAGGGCACCACCTTGCTTGGAGCAGACCTCATCCTGTCTAGTCTGAGCCACGGCTTCTGCATGTTTAGTGGGGGATTAGAAGGCTGGCATGCAGACCACTCACACGGTGGCATAGAACAGGACTTGGAGGGGAATAGGCTCTATCTTTCTGATGGGGAAACTGAGGCAGAGGACTGGAGGAAGTAGTGAAAAAGGCAGGACAGAGGTGTTAAGATGTTAACAAGATGTTAAGAGTTACAACATCACCCTTGCCTTGGAACAAAGTAGAAAATGAAAGATAGGAAGATAGGGACCAGTGGCTACTAGAGCTGGGAGGGGTGGCAGATGGGCCTCAGGTGATCTGGGGGCCCTGTGCAAATGCCTCCCAATAGGTAGGGTAAAGACCTGGGGGTCATGTGCATGTCTGCCCATGGCGAGGAAGCCTACACACCAATGGGGTGTAGACCTGGGGGTCATGTGATGCCCATCAATGGGATGGGATCTGGAGTCATGTGAATGTGTGCCAACAGTGGGGGTCATGTGGATGCCCACAATATATGTGTGGGGTGGGGTGGGGTCTGGGGGTCATGTGTGTAACTGCCAACAGGGTGCAGGCCTATGGTTGTGTGCATGCCCTCCCAATGGGGTGGAGGTTCTGGGGGGGTCATGTGCATACCCACTAATGGGTTGTAGATCTGGGGGGCTATGTGCACACCCACTAATGGGTTACAAATCTGGGGG